CAGCCACCACAGACACACACAGCCCCCCCAGACACACACAGCACTCCACAGACACACACAGCACCCCACAGACACACACAGCACCCCACAGACACACACAGCACCCCACAGACACAGCACAGACACACACAGCACACACACACAGCACAGACACACACAGCCCCCCAGACACACACACAGCACTCCACAGACACACAGCACTCCACAGACACACAGCACTCCACAGACACACAGCACTCCACAGACACACACAGCACCCCACAGACACACACAGCAAAGACACACACAGCACCCCACAGACACACACAGCCCCCCCCAGACACACACAGCACTCCACAAACACACACAGACACACACAGCACCCCACAGACACACACAGCACCCCACAGACACACACAGCACCAGGGCCGGACTGGGAAAAAAATTTGGCCCGGGCATTTTTTTATCACAGCGGCCCACTAAGAAGGGGGCGGGGCAGAGAGGGTGTGTTTTGTCATCACTCATGACAAACACGCCCCCTCTCAAAGTGAGCATGTTGGTTCAATGCTCTTCCAGGGCAGACCATGCACAGAGTTCTGCTGAAGAGCTCTTGCATGAGAAAAAAGCCCTGTATTTGTTCTGCGCAGTGCAAGCAAATTTAATAACATGCTTGCACTGTGTTTCCTTGCAACTTGTCTCTGGTGTCTCTATAAATGGATACCAGGAGACAAATGGGTCAGGAAAGAGTATTGTGCATGTGTTTTGGAGCCTGCTTGGGGTATCGCGTGTGTGCAGAGTGAGCTGGTCGTGGTGTGGTATTGTGTAATAAGGTCGGTTTTAGTCGTGTTGTGTTTGTGGTGTAATGTAATGCATATGTGGCTAGGGGCTTTAGAGAATGTGTGTTTAGGGGATGTAGCAAGTGTGTGTATACAGGCTATAGTGTGTGTGTGTAGGTGATGTAGTGTTTGTAGAGAGTGTGTGTTCAGGGAATGTAGTATGTGTTTGCTTATAAGGAATCTAGTGTGCGTATAGGGGATCTAGAGTGTGTGTGTGTTTGAAGGACCCAGAATATGTATAGGAGATCTAGTGAGCGTGCGTATATAATGGATTCAGAGTGTATATAGAGATCTAGTGTGTGTATGTGTGTAGATGATCCAGAGTTGGGTAGAGGATCTAATGTGTGTCTGGAATGAAATGTGTTTAGGGGTGCTGTGTGTGTGTGTGTGTGTGTGTGTGAGGGGTGCTGTGTGTGTGAGGGGTGCTGTGTGTGTGTGTGAGGGGTGCTGTGTGTATATTTATATGTGTATATATATTATATAAATATGTTTGGAAGTATTGTGTATGTGTGTTAGGCAGTGTATCGGGGGTTGTGTGTGTATGTGAGGAGTGCAGTATGTGTGTGTGATGGATCCTGTGTGTGAGGTGTGGGTGCTGTGTGTGGGTGCTGTATGTGATTGATTTGTGTGAGGGTGCTGTGTATGATGTGTGTGAGAGTGCAGAGTGTGATGTGTGTGAGAATGCTGTGTGTGAGAGTGATGTGTATGATGTGTGTGAGAGTGCTGAGTGTGAGAGTGCTGTGTATGATGCATGTGAGAGTGCTGAGTGTGAGAGTGCTGTGTATGATGTGTGTATGAGAGTGCGGTGTATGATGTGTGTGAGAGTGCTGTGTATGATGTGTGTGAGAGTGCTGAGTGTGAGAGTGCTGTGTATGATAGTGCAGAGTATGAGAGTGCTGTGTATGATGTGTGTGAGAGTGCAGAGTGTGATGAGTGTGAGAGTGCTGTGTGTGAGTGCAGAGTGTGATGAGTGTGAGTGCTGTGTATGAGAGTGCTGTGTATGATGTGTGTGAGAGTGCAGAGTGTGATGTGTGTGAGAGTGCTGTGTATGATGTGTGTGAGAGTGCAGAGTGTGATGTGTGTGAGAGTGCTTTGTATGATGTGTGTGAGAGTGCAGAGTGTGATGTGTGTGAGAGTGCAGAGTGTGATGAGTGTGAGAGTGCTGTGTATGAGAGTGCTGTGTATGATGTGTGTGAGAGTGCAGAGTGTGATGAGTGCAGAGTGTGATGAGTGTGAGAGTGCTGTGTATGATGTGTGTGAGAGTGCAGAGTGTGATGAGTGTGAGAGTGCTGTGTATGATGTGTGTGAGAGTGCAGAGTGTGATGAGTGTGAGAGTGCTGTGTGTAAGAGTGCAGAGTGTGATGAGAGTGCAGAGTGTGAGAGTGCTGTGTGTAAATGTGTGTTGGGGGTGTAAATAAAAAACTAAGGGGGGGGGGTAAATAAAGAAATTTAAAAAAAAAACCTAAGTAGACATTAAATCCCCCCTCCCTCTTACCTTTAGCCTGGGAGGGGGGACCGGCATGGTGGTAGCTGGGAGGAGGGGGGACCGGCACACTCACATCATCCCTGGTGGTCCAGTGGTGAGTGAACTCTAGCCTGCGGGCTAGAGTTCACTCTCGCGAGATCCGGTCGTTGCCATGGCAACGCTCCGGATCTCGCGAGAGGAACCCGGCGGAGCTGCAAGATAGAGCTCCGCCGGGTCCTCTCCCTCCCTCCACAGCCGCAGGTCTGTTTAAATGGGCCGGTGAGGGAGATCTTCGATCTCCCCACCGGCCCTCCATGGAAGACAGCGGGGCCGGCGCTCGGATAGCGCCGGCCCTGCATAGACCGGCAGGGGAGATCCTGGGACCTCCCCTGCCGGCCTCGGCCCATGGCCACCGCGGCCCACCGGGCATTTGCCCTGTGTGCCCGATGGCCAGTCCGGGCCTGCCTCTCGGTCTCTCTGCTCTACTGGAGACCTTATCCTGTCTGCTGCACGCACCCTTACTGCAAATTCATGCCTACAAGACTTCTCACGGGTGGCTACTTTCCTTTGGAACAGCCTGCCTACCCCTGTCAGACCCTCCCCTAGTCTTCAATCCTTTAAAAAGTCCCTGAAAAGCCATCTTTTCATGATTGCGTATGGCCTCCAATAGTAACTTCTGTATCTCAAACCTTCCTCTCGCTCTCTCCTATAGGGTCACACTCCGCTCTCACCTCCAGTTCTGCTACTTTCCCACCATGTCTATTTGCTGTCTCCCTCAATACCCTTCCCAGCTGCAACCGCTGCGACCGCGGTAGTTCCGCCACTGATCGAGACTAACTGTTGTTATTCAGACACTGTCTGACCAAAGATGCATGTATATACATAAACTTAATGAAAACAAAATCTTTTTTATTTCAAAACTTGATGAAATATTTATTATATAAAAAAATTGTGTGGAGTTGACAGTTGTTCTTTAATTGTAAAATCACGCATTAATAAATACACCTATTACTGCACATCCTTGTGAATGTGATTGCAGTTTTTATAACATTGACCCAGATTTGTCGCACTAAATAACTGGTTACACAGACAACACAAAGCATTTTTGCAAACAAACCCGGAGAGGAAGGGATCTCACAATACTTTCTAATAATAAAAAAAAAATCTATGTCTGAAGAGTGATTAAAATAATGTGCTCAAACTCTTGAATTGAAATGGAAAAATCAATCAATAAATTGATTATTTCATTGTGTATCTGCCCCTGGCCAAATCAGTGAAACAATGCGTGCACGCTCCCTGAAGTAATTCACACCAGACACAGGTTCCAGGTTGTTGAATAACTTGAGGAAAAGTTTATTCAGAGGGGACGGCAAGTCCCTTTTAAAGCAAAATTACATCATAAGCATTGTCAGAGATAACATGGAATAATACATCAATTATTGGTTAGGTGTTAAGTGGTTGCTCTAATGCTCTGCCTACTGCAGGTGATGTCACCGGGACCATGAGGGTCTCCCACGGTTTCCCGGCGCCATCTTGCTGCACGAGGTAGTTAGTCGATGTTAAGAGGGGGGGGGAGGAGGGGTTAGAAGCTTCTAGCAGCCATCTTGATTAAAATGTGTGCTTAGCTTTATATGTGATATATCGTGAAATGAGTAAATAGACATTTTCTCCAACTAGGAAATATGTGCAGACCTTATTTCCACAACAGTCCCCCCTAAAATGGCTATTTACCATAACAACTGCTGCTGTCCCTAATATGTCCCTAGTTGCCTGCAGCCTATCTGTCTTAACAAGCATCGAACACTTCACTCCGCGGGTAACCCGCAGTGGCTAGCCCACCACATCTCCACACGTGAGACTCGCCTGTTAAGACAGACGCTTTCCCTCCTCTATCCCTACAGGAAAGCAGTTGTCTGTTTGAACTGATGTGCTTGTAGGGGTGTATGTGGAGTGTCATCTTCGAGGTCTGTGATGTCTTGGTGTAGGAAAGTAGGGGTCACGTCATCTACAGTCTTATCTACCGCTTTTTGTAAGTATTTTTGTATGCAGGGGAGTATGCAACAGGTTAAAAATAAGAAGATGATAAACACTATAAGAACAGCTGTCCCCACCTGGAAGAGGGTCCTTTGCCAACCATTCATCCACCCAAACCATTTGTCCCACATGTCGGTGACTCCTGAATTCTTCTTTAGCTCGTCTGCGAGACTGTCTAGTTTCTCTATGGCCATAGTCACCTTACCATTGGGCCCAGTGTTGTCTGGAATGTATGTGCAGCATGTCATGGTCTCGGGGAGGATCTTACATACTCCCCCCTTCTCAGCTAAAATCATATCTAGGGCCATTCTGTTCTGGAATGTCATTTGAGTAGTGGCTTGTAACTGTTCTGCTAGGCCCTGTAGGGCATCCCTTGTATAATTGACAAAGCGCTGCTGATTATAATAGATGTAGTTGATCCAATTGACATTTTTGTTAGCAGTTATCATCGGAATTAGGGATTCAAATCCTGCAGCCACTTCATCTCTCTGAATTCGTTAGGCACCCCCCTTGGCACACCTATGGCATCAATATACACATGGGGGTCGAAGCTCCCTCGGATAGGAGCCTCTCGTTTGGTTCTAGAGTATGTATGTGTGAAATTTAACGTGTTATGACTACCATCTGGAATAATGTGAATGGGCCTTATGACTTTGGTTAGGGCACACTCCCCCCACCATTGCCCAGTTAATTGGGACCTCAATTGTTTGTCACCACATAACCAATAGATATCCCCGATTGTCTTTGTGTGGTTCATTAGCAGTGATGCAGGTGGATTATGGTAAGTTGAGCAGTATCCTGATGGGAATTTGCCCAGATACAACCCAGTGTTCTTAGGTATTGAATAGCATGTGTAATTACCTGGGTAGATGGTGACTCCATCAGGTGGTTTCACATGTCCATGGGTGATTGGGTAAACTTTCTTCCAAGATTCACATGTTGAGGAGTTAGTGGTGGATTGTGCATACAAACTTAGTACACATAATTCTATTTCAGGAGGTAAACTCAGAGGTACTGTACCCAGATGGGGTCTGGCACCTCCACATACATAACAGTTAGTCTTATTATGTGAGTTAGCATTATACCTCATCCACTCTAGCCACAAATTAGTATCTGAAAACCCAGTTTCTACTGCCATGGTATCCTCAAAGGTGGGGTTAGCTATGGCTACCATGTCATGTAGGGTCTTGATGTGTGGTTTCAATGGGTGAATGACCATATGTGTAGTCCCTACCCAGTCAGAGGAGTTTAGCATATCTTGTAAGTAAAAGGTCCCCAATGCATTATGTGAGCCGCCTCCCTTCCAGTACATTCCCATCACATATTCCCCTGCATCCCTTGGACTAGGGTGTTCTATATTCAGAGTAAGTTTAATGGGAGTTGACCCTATGGGTTTACTCAGGGTCATTCTAGAGAGTAAGGGTTTCCCGTCTTTATCAAGTCTGTCCAGTGCAACTTGAGGTCTGTAGCCCCATGGCCTACCTGTGTTCCACCCGGCAGCTTTCCATGAACTACAATGGTGTCCCCAACCTCCTCCAGTCACACAAATGTATGGATCCTTTTTGTTAGGTATGTCCTTGTATATGGCTGCATATTGTGTTTGTGGAAATGCACAAGTAACTATGTCACAGTAGTCAAAGGTGTACGTAGCTACATCAGTATTAGAAGAATTGTACCAAAAAGTGTAAACATGATCATCTTTGGTTATGGCCACTTGTTGGGCCCAGACAAAGTGTAGCAACATAAGAAAACACAAGACACGTAATAAATTCATATTTCAACAGGATCAGCCTCTTCTGGAGCAGGCACTTTTTTGCAATGTGAAGCGTGTATCCAGGAACTCTTCCCAGCTAGTTTAACTGACGTTGCTGTAATCAGGAGCACTTGATAAGGACCATCAAATCTTGGTTCTAGGGTGTGTTTCCTGAGAAACTTCTTGACCATAACCCAGTCACCCGGAAGCAGCTTGTGTGTACCTGTATTCGACTCAGGATCTGGAATAGAAGAAAACACTTGGGCATGTATCTTGGTCAAGGCATGTGAGAGGGCAGTCACATAGTCTACCATAGCGTCTGACTGAATCTGAAGCTGTTGGGGAAAGTAGCAACCTAACCTGGGTGCTGTACCAAACAAAATCTCATAAGGTGACAGGCTGTATTTTCCCCTGGGAGTGTATCTGACACTAAACAACGCTAATGGGAGACTCTCAGGCCAGGGCATGTTAGTTTCTTGTGACATCTTAAGCATTCTGGCTTTCAAAGTGCCATTCATGCGCTCTACCTTACCACTACTCTGTGGGTGATATGGTGTGTGGAACGCAAGGGTCACCCCCAGTGCTGACCAGACTTCCCGTGTTAGCGAGGCAGTAAAGGAGGTTCCCTGGTCACTCTCAATTACTTCTGGAACTCCATAGCGGCAAACAATTTCTGTCAGAAGGTACTTGGCTGTAGTCCTCGCGGTGAGGTTAGTCACTGGGAAGGCCTCTGGCCATCCTGAAAACATGTCCACTATAACCAATGCATATTCATAACGTCCGCTCTTTGGCATCTGAATGTGGTCAATCTGAATCCTCTGAAAGGGGTATTGCGGCTTGGCTAGGTGATTAGGTGCAGTCTTTATGACTTTTCCAGGATTGCATTTAGCACATATAGTACAAGATTTACAGTAATTCTGTGTTAAAGTAGTGATGCCTGGTGCTTCAAAATACTTGTCAATCAGTGAATTCATCAGGAGCTTTGACAGGTGGGCTGGCCCATGGGCCCATTGGACCACCGCTGAATACATACTTCTGGGTAAGCAAAACTTGAGATTGATGGTGTAAATATCATCACGGAGTACAGCTCCTTTATTCTTCCAACTTTGTTTCTCCTGAGGAGTAGCAGCAGCTTGTTGTTCCTTCAGGAGCCTGAGATCAGTAGGCAATGTCTGCATAGTGTAGATAGGTAATGTATCTGTGGCCACTCTTCTGTCCACTTCCCATCCTTGCCGTGCTGCCTCTTTAGCTGCCTGATCAGCTAAGTGGTTGCCACGTGTTTCTTCTGTGTCTAATCTTCCGTGGGCTTTTACTTTCAATACTGCCACTTCTGCTGGAAGTTCCAATGCATCCATCAGTTCTGCAATGGCTGCCCCATGTTTCACTGGGGTACCTGTAGCTGTAAGAAATCCTCTGGTCTTCCAGATTAAGCCAAAGTCGTGTGCCACTCCCAGGGCATATCTTGAGTCCGTGTAAATGTTGACACGTAGACCTTCAGACAATTTGCAGGCCACAGTTAGGGCTGTTAACTCGGCTTCTTGGGCAGACTTAGTTGATTGTAGGGCAGCTGCTTGCAATACTTGGCATCCTGTGGTGACTGCATATCCAGTGTGGTATTGTCCCTGTTCATCAGCAAACCTTGAGCCATCCACAAATAGTGTTTGATCCGGATTGAGTAATGCAGCTTCATAAACAGTTGGTAGGTGTGTAGTTTCCATTTTCATTTGTTCAAAACAGTCATGGGGGATATCAATGAGGTCACAGTCTGTGGTGAGTGGGTCCTCACAGGCCTCTGTGTGATACCTGGGGTACCCTGTTAGGCAGTAGTTAATGGTCTTTTTATTGATCCCCGTAGAAGTTAGTTGTTCTTGAGTCATTTGGTTCCAGGTTCTGGCCATCGGGCCTAGGTCTTTCCATGAGGTGTTGAGGGATCTGGTGAGAGATATGTGTGGAATAGCTGTTTCCCAATGGTGGTAGAGGTGTGTTACATTCTCTGGAAGGCGAACTAAGACAAGCATAGTACCTGCAGAGTCCCAGAATAAGTCAGTCAGGGTAATTTGAATTTCTTTGAGCTGGAATAGTTCTTCCTCATAGTCCATATCAGGGCTTGGTACATCCCTAAACCACAAGGTGCAGTGGAGTAGGGCCTCTGGTTGTTCATCATGTGGAGGTGCAAGTGCAGGCAACTGTAAATCTGCTTGAACCTCTGGGTTGATATCCAAGCTGTACCAATGATGCACAATTCCCCCCTTGGGAAGTGGCAGAAGAGTGGCTGGGTTCAGGGAAAGGCATCTCTGGAGTTTTACATTGTCAGGTAGGAGTAAGGAGGTTTGTAGGCGAAGGTGACGTTGGGAGGAAAGGTGCTTAGGTTGGGTTTGTTGTAGGATGGCAGTAATGTCATGAGGGGCCAACACTGGGAGGTGATGGCCAAGAACAAAATCATTGGTCTTGTCCAGGAGGGCGCTGGCGGCAAACACCGCTCTGAGGCAAGAGGGGCTACCTCTCGCAACAGGGTCAAGCATGCAGGAAAAATAACCAATAGGACGTTGTCTGGACCCATGTTTCTGGGTAAGGACTCCGGAAGCATGTCCTGACTTTTCAGAGACAAACAAATTGAAAGGAAGTTGGTAGTTGGGTAGGCCCAAAGCAGGTGCTGAAGCAATAGCTCTTTTCAGATTGTGGAAACAGGTGATAGTTTCTTCAGTGAGGTGAAAGGGCTCACTCCTGAGGGCATCATAGAGTGGCTGCATGAGTTTTGATACTTCGGGGATCCAGGACCTGCAGTATGTGATAAGACCCAAAAAAGCATGAAGAGTCTGATGTGTTGCAGGTAGAGGGAGTTGCAGAATGGCCTGCACACGTTGAGAGGTTAGATGTTTGGTGCCATGGGAAAGACAATGTCCCAAGAAGACCACAGAGGGCCGGCACCATTGTAGCTTTGATTTTGAAGCTTTGCAACCGGCTGCAGCGAGGAAACACAGGAGATCTTCTGAGTCACGCTCTGCAGTGAGCAAATCAGGAGCACAGAGAAGGAGATCATCAACATATTGAAGTAAAACAACGTCCAGATGAGATTTCTGCCAGGGATCCAGAACCAGAGACATGGCATGAGCAAACTGTGTGGGAGAATTCTGAGCTCCCTGAGGCATAACAGTCCAGGTATATTGTTGTCCTTCATGCGTGAAAGCGAAGAGAAAGCGGCAGGAGGGGTCAAGGGGGACACTGAAAATGGCATTAGCTAGATCCACTACAGTGAATATTGTTGAAGTTGGTGGGACTTGGGACAAGAGGGTATGGGGGTTTGGAACAATAGCAGTGTCTTTGATGGTTACTTCATTGACAGCACGGAGGTCCTGCACCATGCGGTACTGGTCAGGCTGACCCTTAACAGTTCGCTTTTTGACAGGGAAAAGAGGTGTGTTGCATGGAGATGTACATTTGATGAGGGCACCTTTGGCAAGTAGACTTTCAACTTGTTTGGTGATGGCGTCAGCTTGTGCCGGTTTCAGAGGATACTGCGGTCTACGAGGAGGTAGTGCTCCAGGCAAGAGCTGGACCAAGACTGGGGGTACATGTAAGCGTCCAATATCATCCGGCCCGGTAGACCAAAGTTCTTGGGGGATACGATCCAGAGCACTGGGGGTGTGTGTGACCCGTGCATTCCCTGTGTTGTCAGTTAGGTTCAACAGGATGGGGAGGGAACAGAGTACAGAGGTATCCTTTTGTGATAAGGGGGTTGTCAACTCGACTTGGCCATCTGCAGTGAAGGTGATAGAAGCCTGAAGCCGAGAGAGAACATCGGCACCTAGGAGGTTAATGGGACAGGTAGAGGAAACAACAAACCGGGAGAGGATGTGTGATCCTACGTGTAGGAGCTTAGTAAGGGGGTTACTGCGTGGTGTACCATCCACCCCAACACAGGAGACATCGGTGTCAGATAAAAAGGAAGGGTCTGGCAGGTCTTGTTCCCTAAGGACACTACGGGCTGCACCTGTGTCAACTAGAAAGGTGGTTGGGTGACCCTCCACGGGGAGAACTACAGTAGCTAAAGGCCCTCCCCCATCCCCCGCAGACACTGCCATGGCAGGGGTTGCTGACACAGGCTTGCCAGTTACCTATTGTAATAAATCCAAATGGGCCTGGTCTGGTCCCTGGTACCGGCGGGAAGTGGAAGGGGGGTTAGCAGAATGCATGGGGGGGCGGGATGGACGGATGGCATGGCGGGGCTGTGGCTGACTGTCTTGGAAATCATCGTTGTCATACCCTTCAGCAGAAGGCGAAGAGTATGCACGAGCTTCTGATGTAG